ATTTCTGTCTGAAATAGTGGAACAGGAGTGTCAGCCTGAAATAAAGTTCTAATATTCAGAGATGTACTTGAGTAAATGTATCCTGTTACATTCAGTCTCTTAATTTGGTCATCTGGAGATTATTTCTTTCATGGATTTTCTGATAAAGATGCTTTGGCTTAACGAATTAGGATCTGTCTGCTGGCATCTCAAAAATGATAACACCAAAAAGCCTAAAATGAATTTCCAGGATATTTTTCTTGAATGTAACATCAAGCCGCTGGGAAAACTGAATCTAAGAGCTTTGTTATTTTACTTCAAACGATACAAAACTGTTGCAAACATGTCACATCTCCCCTCTCTGTGCGTTCAGATGCTGAGGTTGCAAATGTGGACACACCTGACGCGGAGCTCACAGGCCAGCGTTTCACCCGCGACGTCCTGGACCACGCTCCCGTAAATGACTATGTAAGTGGGGCCCTTTCTGCCACGTCACCCGGGGACCACACCACGAGATACAGTAAAGCCACTTCAATCAGCTCCAGCTCTGCCTCGACTCTTTCTGCATATAAATCGCTCACTAATTGATGTTAAAACTGACTTTGTGCACCAGAGGGCATAGCAATTGCTCTATATATCTGTTTAAGTAAGGCCAGTTCATTGAAGACTCCCTTAATGTCTCTCCATTAATTGAGAGGAATATCCAGCCTTTCAAAGGCAGCAACTTGTGCCTTACAGCACCCGTTAGTGCCTTTTTTCACTTCCTTTTTTCTGAGGCAGTGGAAAGCGCTGTACAAAGGAGCCCTCTCAAGGTCACTCATTGCTGCACAGATAAGTTACATTTATTAATAATGCTTTAATTATCAAAGCGTATAAAATGAATGGGAAGGCCAAGTGGCATATTTTGGTGTACTGCATGTAAACCACTCAATGCTGTATGATTAATTATCCTTGACTCTTAGGGAAAATCACATTGCTTAGTATATTACAGAAATTAGGCACTCACATTGGCACGGAAAAAACTGCACTTGCACACTAAAGATACCGGCAACATACACAGGTGCAAGTGTATCTGACTCCTACACACACGCGCGTTCAGCACTTACAGGTGAATAGCCACTAAAGCTAAATTCAAGGATAATGAGTCAGGCTCGGTCTGCTCCTCAGAGCTGGGAGAAACGGTGAGAGACACGCAGAGAAATGAGACGTCCTATAATGTTGACATTTATCAGGCCCGTCCCAGAAACACCTCCCGCTCAACTCTTCAATTTCCCCCTAGCTCCTCTGTCTTCTCCCTCGTTGTCTGTGGCAGGAGATGCAGCGCTGTGCAATTAAAACATACCAGGGGATGAAAAACTCAGCTCTCCTTTTGAAACGTTCTGCCTCTATCAGCTGAGTAATGCATACCATTGCAATCCATTCCAGCAGCACGTCCAGGCGCTGTTTGTGGGTCCAGTGATAACAAAGGCCTTTGTGGCCAAGCGCAGGGCAGGCAGCAGTCTGTAATTGGGAGTCTGAACTCTCGCTCATGCCAGTGGGATGCCACATGTGTTGGCCAAGCCTTTTTTTATTTATTTATTTCTCGACGTCCAGAACTCATGTAAATGTGCACACAGTCAGAAAACAAGCAAACACACACACACACACACACACACAGTCTGCTATTCACAGTTCCTCTTTCTACCTCCATCCATTCTTCTGCCACATGTGCAGACGCATAACAACACGCATTCACTTCATCTGCATTTCATAAGTCCGAGTTTCAGTGCCACATCTCCCCACAGTGCGCCTTCATAAAGCAGAATAATCATTTGAGTCCTTGTGACAGTGGCTGACAGATATATGATGCTGAACTTTGCCATGGCTGCCATGTCAGAGTGTAGTCTGTCTCAGAGGTGGCCCTGGAAATTTCAAACTGAATAACTACCATCTGACAAGCCTGAAAGGATTGTACCACTGTACTGTCCTTGACCCATATAGCAAGAGCGAGCTTCCAATCTGAAGTGACCTCACATACATAGACATGTAAACATGTTTGCTGTGTGTATCTGCATGTGTCTAGTGTTTGCATTATGTGTTAAACTTTTGCCATCCTTACAACACTCTGAGCGTAATATTCAGGGTCAGGCTGGATGGCTGTTCATGTATTACGAAGGTGCAAAAGGCTCAAGGAATTCAAATCCATGAATGCAGGACCTGTTTGTGCCTGCAGAGGAATCTTTACACTGAAGCTAAAGCTCCTTATCACTTTGGTAAACCAGCAGAGTTTACTGAAATACACGACTATCTGCTTATTCAATTACGTCCAATTTCATTGTCATTCCAGCTCACTGTAGAGCACAGGGAGATGAAAATCTGAGATCAGGACACGCGGCAAAGCATTTCATATGTTGCACTGTCCTGTGTGTCTACATAAAAAACTCCCCTTTTTGAATACAAAGCAGGGCATGAAACAGAAATGTTATCTCTGCTGTTTTGATCCCACAATGAATGTGATGAGCTCTGCTATGAGATTTAATAACACATCCAGGCATGTGCTTCAAGCTCATGAAGAGCGGTGATCAGCGTGTGTGAAATAATACCAACAAGTGTGGAGATTAGAGGAGTCATGCTTTGATTCGTTACATCTTATTGAATGACTGACGCAGTTTTCTACTCTGCCGTCTCATTCACATCCAGTGCCTCATATTATGCACAGAGGTGTCTGTGCATGTGTGTCTGCATGTGTGTGTGTGTTTGCATGTGAGCCTGGGTGTGTGATGAAATCAGATGCAGCAAGGGGGTAATGGCTTTTACTCTTCATTAATGCTGCTTGTTTGTGAGTGACTGCCTCAGATTTCCCAAGGTGAACCATTCTTATCACCGCAGCTTCCCACTAGAGACAGCAACTCAAAGCCAGAGTGATTAATATGTACCCTCCGTTTTAAAAGGATAGCTCTGATTAATTGTCTTTAAGGTACAATGCTGCCTATTGGCTGTTTGTTTTGATAAACGCCAGCGTCATTTGAATAAAATATTTTCTTCATTTTCCAAGCCGGAGCTCCAGATTTTGTAACATCCCAGTTCGGGCTGTGAGGAGCAGATAAGATTATCGTTGGTCCATTGACAGCTTTCGTGTTGTTTCCATAACAGATTGTTGCCTGGAAGCTGATGACCTGAAACCTGACTGAAACAATAAATCATTAAAAGCCTACCCGTGCCTGTCATAGTAATAAATCAAACCCACCTATCCCAGATATCATCTGTCGCACCCTTTCTATGTGTTTTAAATATGTCTCACCACTGTGTAATTTTACTCAGTTTATCATAGCTCACATCAAATGCGTGCCACACTTTTTTATTGGGTCATGTTTGTGGTGAATTTATTGTCGCTCTCTGCTACAGCAAAGAAAACAAACACAATGTGTGTAAAACCACTGTGATTGACGACTCACTGGGTTGTAGAGTAGATGCAAGAAATCCCCTAATTCCCATACTTAATGTGGTAGGGGACTGGGGGGACTCAGCCATGTTCTCCTGCGGGTCCTGTCCTCTTAAACAATTCCCACACATTTTCTATTCCCAACAGTGGATGTGTTTTGTTCTGCACTATTGCGTGCTGCTGAGTCATTGTGAGCGCTTGCAGAGAATTGTACCGGTTTGTTCTGAATGTGAAGTCAGCGCAGGCCGTTGACTCCTGGATCTGAGCGGTTTAACGAGACAGCGCCGGATTGTCTCCGAGGATTCATTTACTAAAAGAGATTGAAATGTGGTCAAATGCATACTGAGGGCAGTTGCTGCCTCAACTCGCACCGTGAGTTAAGTGGCACTTCTCCGAACCCCATTTGGAGTTGCTCTTGATCAAAGGCATGGCACTCAGCCCCCACGAGTCTATGAGGGCACGAACCAACCAGCACAATGGAAAAATCCAAGGGCCATTAATTCTACCCAATTTACCTTTCGTTTGGGTTTCATTTGGCCCCTCTATAAATTCAGAGGCAGCCAGCAAGAGCAAATGAAAGAATCCTTGTTAGGCGATCATTACTCTGCTAATTGCTTTAGGAATGTGCCATGCACTTAAAGTCAAGGTCAGGAGGAGGGCGCCAAGACTGAGGAGCTCTAATTTGAATGCTCTATTGGAGGAGGGGCAGCCATTTTAGTGCAGAGTGTGTGCTTCGGTCGAGGGAGTTAAGAGGTCAGAGATGAAAGAAATAGTGTAATTATGCTGGTAACTACCAACGTTAGAGTCCCCACTGGTAGGGGGGCTGTGAATCCTGGATTCAGAGGAGGGGAATTGTGCAGCTGCCAGTCGCGCTTCCTCTGCTGGAACAGAAAGGTCAAAGGTATTATATCATGTTTTATGCTCCTGTAGCTTAAATCAAGCCCGCTCGCGTTCACCGCTATCACCATCTCTTTGTCACAGTCATCAAGCATGGCACAACTTTGCATTTTCGCGGACATCAATTCTGATCCCTCCACTCTTGTTTGGTTTTTACATATACACTGCTGCCCCGCAACCAAAGCAGCCTCATCAATTCACGTCATCCTCCTCCTCTACCTCTTCTCGTGCCCTTGCCTCAGGAGGACTGGCATTTGTCATGTGTGTGATTGTAACCCTGCCCACTCCTGTGTCCTCTGCAGAGGGATGTTGGAATCGAGCTGGATAACCGTCTGGATGACCGTGGCTACTGCTGCCAGCACTGTCGCCGTGGTTACCGCTTCTGCCGCCGCTACCACGAGCCCCTGGGTGGCTTCAACCCCTGGCCATACTACTACCAAGGAGGCCGGGTCATCTGTCAGATTGTCATGCCGTGCAACTGGTGGATCGCTCGCATGCTGGGGAGGATCTGAGGCTGCCGTGTGCTGTCTGGGAGTTAAACTGTTTATGTTGTCATAGGTGCAAATTCGCCTCTTGATAAATATCCCTGACCACTTGTAAGACCAAAGCAATCTATTGCACACAATTATTAGCTAAAGTATGAGTCAGTCTAAATGGCATTTGAAACATTCCGATTCTTTCTTAGAAGGTATTAGTTGTTTATAGCTGTCTAATTTTCTCTCATTTAGTCTCCTTGCTATTTGAGCCTGCTCAATGAGTGCAATTTAGTTTGCAAGATGTCAACAGAAACTGATCCTTGCTAAAAAAAAAAAAAAAAAAACTTCAACATCAACTGTCTTTACTTTTGCCACTTCCATTTTGACTTTTTGAGTTGTTATTGTATTACTGTAACGTATGAAAACAGTATAACAAAAAGTATCGCTATATTATCTCAGTGGTGTTATCACATTTACCTAAATACACCTTTACCAAGCACTTTATTAGGAACACCAGTGCAATCTAACACAATCCAACACAGCAGCTCTGTCATAAACTTTTATGAAGCTTCTACGGGTTTTGTTGACATTGTCAGAAAGGTGACATTTCTACTTTATGTTTTTTATTGAGGTCATAGTTGGTGGCGGCAAACTGGATTGCATTATACTGAAAAGTGTTCTTAATATTTTGTCCACTCTATTAAAATGTGAAATAATAGGATTATTTTTCAATACAATTCAGTCGTGTACGCCGCCACCTCCCACTGCGACCTCATTAATAGACATAAAGTAGAATGATCACCCTTCTGACAATGTCAACAAAAACCGAAAATACAGAAGCTTCGTAAAAGTACAATTTATGGCAGAGCTGTTGTATTGGATTGCATTAGATTGCACAGGTGTTCCCAATAAAGTGCTTGGTGAGTGTATATATCTCTGTTTTTTTTGTCATCTGTTTTTTTTATTGCTTTCTTAACTAGCAGATAAAAGTCCATCCCATGGCCCACACTACACTGGCCCCTAAAGACAAAGCATATACAAGAAAAAGAACGGGCAGTGAGGGAAACGCATTCCAAATCCAGAAATGCCACAAAAAGCAAAACACATACAAATTGGAAATGCTTAAATAAAAATGCAACCAAAGGAATCTGCTGCGCCAGACGTGCTCTGGGACGCTAGGGGGAGTGATGAGGCCAATTTGAATAGGCAGCAAGGTTGCAGGGAGTCAAGTTATTAGCAGAGTCCTATCAAGTGACCACAAGATCTCCATAAAATTAAGTAAACATTGTCAAAGACACAAAAAACCCAAAACTTGCTTAGCTTACGCAACACTTCTTGGATGTGGACACAAACCAACATACTTAGAAAGATTTAAATATGTAAAGACATCAAATGCAAAACAGAAATGGAAAGTATTCAAATTAGGAAAAGAAGAATAGGAAGAAGAGAAAAAAGAGAATAATTCCAGCATACCAGTACAGAAATAGAAGAAGATGCAAAGGACCAAGCTTTGAGAGTTTTTTGTTTTTTTTTTTTTTTTTGGTATCATGTTAAAATAAGGATGTATAATTGAAGATGCACAGATCTCAGCTGTCTTTTGTTATGTACTTACTGATGTGTTCTCCTCCACTGTTTTCGCTGTTGTTGCGATCCGCACAATGCTTTAAATAGTGCCACTGTTCAAACAGCTTCTTCTTTGCCGAGGCGATTTTAATCTGTAACACTGCATCTCGGTGTGTCAAGCTGAAATGACTCTCATCTGCAACTAACAGATAATCAAGGCATAGGCATTTGTAATTGATGTTCTGTCATCACAATAACAAGGTGCACAAATGCCCAAGAGTATTCAAGCCTATGTGAAATATTCAGAAGTTAAACAGAGAGACAAAAAATGGAGCGCTCTTGTTGTGATAGTTGGCTTTGAAGTCTTCTGTATGTTTCGAACACTTTCCTTGTTTTTTTTTCCCAATTAAAATTTCATTGTATGAATAATCTCAGCTGTCCTATCATATGAAACAATGCGATTTCCTTGAAAGACACTTAATACCCTGGGGTGTTTGCGTGACAGCTGATAGCACTATGGGTTTGAATCCACAGAAAAGATAGACCTCCTTTTCTCCTCTCCATTAGTCCCATTTGTTATTAGCAAAATTATTTAGCACCACATTGTTGTGACAAGAAGAAAATAGACATATATGCTTGTATTGTTTCCATTTTGTAACCTGAGACTCCGTTGTGTATCTGACGTATGATAATGCTTTGTTTACAGTAACATGAAAGTATCTCGTCTGCTAAGTAAATATCCATGTTGACTCATGCTGGCTCAGTATGATAGTAATGTCAGTGATATCAATAATAATTGGCAGTGAAATGGATTTTGTGAAAAAGAGGGCAAAACACATTACTGCATGTAAATGTTTTATGAATATGCTCATAAATGGAGTTCAGACTGCAACCATATTGTTATTTTTAAATCAATAATGTCAATAGCCCAAAGCAACATGTCAAGTAAAAAAATACTGGCATGAGTTAACAAATGCAATAATTGCAAACATACTTCAAATAAACTGACAAGTGTACTGCAAAGCCCCCGAGGCAGTTCTGAAAAGTTCATAAAATCAGTGTTTATATAATTCATTTCTCACTATTTCCTGCTTATCACATCAAATAGTCAAGTGTTTATTAAAATGGATGCATTCAGCATGCTGCTATTGTTGCTGCGGAGCTTTTGCACTCGCAATGTTAGGAAGCAGTATAAAGTGTTATTTTTCGTAAGATGCTGTTCGTTGTTAGTTGTCTATCTGGTGAAGGTCTCTGAGGACTCTGAGGACTCTTTTGTGTAGTCGTGAGAGTAAATTGCCATGGAAGTCCTGAGAGTCGTTCTGAATGGGATGGTTCACCCTGACTGGAGAGGCTGATACAGATATTACAGCCGGCTCCCTGAGAGCTCCTCATGCCTGTTGGGACAAAAGTCCAATATTAACCATGAAAGTCAAACTTTAAAGTACAAGACATCTCACAATTAAAAGGCATCATGGAGGAGACCCAGAAAGACACTGGATGGTGGCGATGTGATAAACGAAGCTGAAATGAGAGCAAAAGAAATGGATCACTGTCAAAAGAAATCCAAATTTTGGTGTCCGATGTACACATTTCAGCAAAATCTACATTTAGTGTTTGTATTCCATTTTCTCCATTATGAACTTTGTGAATAATGTAAACGACGCCATGTGAAGTAAACTAATGTAGCTTTGTTAGCTGGATGTTTCAATCAAAGACTTCTGCAAATATGCAGAGACAACAAGCAAGCAAGATAGCCCCCTCCAAAAAGGAAACTTTTCCTCTGAACATACAAAATCTGATTATATTCAATTACAAGTACTGGGCTTTTTAAAACTCAAAATGGAAGTTAATTTACTTTCCTACAATGTATAAAGCAGTTCAATACTATCTCCATTAGACATGAGGCAAATCTGTGAGTCTGTGACAGTGAACTCCTCCATCGTAGACCAGAATTAAAGAATATATCATCTCAAGTGAAGCCCTGCGCTATCTCTCTCATGCATTTTATATAGGACCCCCCTACCCACCCACCCACCCCTCTAGCACTTGTTTATCGCTGTTTTGATGAGGAGAGGAAACAAGATCAACTGCTCTGCAGGATAAACAGAGATACTGCACGTCTTTCCAGGTTATCACAGTTCAAAGGATTTTTCCTACCTGGCCTGAGGAACGGCCACTTCCATTGATGCTCACGAGTGAATTAATTCTTTTTGTTACTTATCAAAAAAATGCAGGAAAATTTCACTCCCAGCTGCTTATTTTCATTTCAAATATTCGCCCGTTCATTTAGATTCGCGAGTTGCTATTCTGGGGCGGAGGAGAGCGGAAAAACCAATGTATGAGGAGTGTTTAGATTAGTGACCTGAAGGAATAGTTCTCTCCAACCCAGACGGAGGCTCAGTGTCTGCTGAGGACACATGTATTACCAGTGCCATCTTGTGTAGAGGGAGGTGTACTGCTGAATATATCAGAAGAGGTGATGTGTTTTGGCCATTTTTTTTAAATATTTAAAACCATGGTTCACCTGCTGTCCCTAAATAAATTCTCTCTCGCTCCTGTAAAACAAACCTCAAATTTTAAAGCGGTCTATTTCAATCTAACCTCGGCTCTATAAGTTAACAGACTGCGTCAAGGTGCGGTGGCCATGAGGCTGCAGTCATCAACACCTTTTCTGTGTAATGTTGCAGTCAGTCTGGTGACCTGATGGTTAAATAAGCTCTCCCTGTACTGTTCCTGCTACAGGCTGGAGGCGCAATAATGTCAGCCGTCATCCTTCAACTGCTCCCACTGTGAGAGGCAGCATGGCACAGCAGTAAACACTAGCGCTGTGTCAGTGGCTGCAGGCGACACAGAAATAGTACTCCTCTCCCAGGACCCAGCTCTCGCTCCATCTTCAGGGTCTCTGATTCACTAACCAAAGGAATAGCACAGACGTAATGGCTGCTAGTAGCCTTTTATTATTTTGCTAATCCATAAGAACGTCCGCTTACCATATGACAGGTGATCGATGAACCGCTCAGCAAAAAATCAAAGTGTCTGTTTGGATGTACCGGAGGGTTGCTTGTTGCTGAATGCGGTGCCGGTGCAATGATTTCATTCTCCTTTCAAACAATTTCCTAATTCGCAAAAGGCTCTGGAAGATTTTTCGCTGGACTGAAGGAGGTTGTAGTGGTGGCTGTGGCTGTGGCTGAACCTCTGGCCTTGTTTTTCTGTGTGTGTTTGTGTGTTAACCCTATGGCAAGACTGGATTGTGTGGTACACAGCTGCGCATGTGGGTGTAGACAGAGCAAGGCACAGTAGGCAAACCCTGCTGCCAGACAGCTTCCTCAACACCACCCCCCGTTTCCCAACCCCCAACACACACACACACACACACACACTCCCCATCCTCACACACATAAACACATCAACATAACACATGCTGTAAAAGAATCAATCCAGTCAGCGTAACCCTTTCTCTCACCAACCGCAGCCGCGCACACTCTTCACTATGCAAGCTGTGGTGGCAGACTCGCCTGTCTTCAGCTCTGGGCACGTCACATGCTAATGTATTCATCCACCCACAGCAACTGGAGAAGCAGTGCTGTTAAGTACAGTCCAATCAGTCTCTGGCCTACTAATGGCTCCAATCCAGTTTCCTACAGTAGCTTTTTCTCTCTTCAAATGCCATGTGATCAAATGTTGCCCAAAGCTGCAATAGCCCCACAACGCAACTTTGAGTTTTCAAGGCAAAAATAGTTTCATTATCTCGACAGTAGAAATTAATAGACTTAGTAACCCCTCGCGAGCTATTTGTTTCCAAGTTTAATTTGGTTTTCTATTTAATTTTTCAAAAATGTCTTGTGTGACATTTTATCTGTGCCTCACACGATTTCCAAAACCACTTTGCCTCCAACAAAACAACAAATAAAATAAAGAGGATAGTCAGCAGAGAAGATTTTGTTTTAATTAGCATATTGGCTTTTTCTTAAAAATCTATTCTATATTCAGCATAAAGGAAGCCGTTGACAACCCAAGACAAAAGAAGCAACAAAACATAAGCAATGGACATACCTCAACATTTCACAGACAACAGTGCTTTACGGAAAAAGCAGGCTGGATACTGGAGTATATACAAAGCAAAAATAAGCAGCAACTCCCCACTGACAGACTGACAGACTTTTTTATGCAAATGTAACCCAGTGTAATTATTGATTGTCAAAAACTTGCAAAAGCATGTACTTAAAAAAATAGGTATACATTCAGAGTGTCTTAGCAGACCCAGAGCCCTTTGGCTGATGCGGGGTTGTAAAGTAGCGTTTAACTCCTGTCCTTAGGTGCCGGTGCAGATGGAGGTCAGTGTGTCTGAATGTCCTCACTCTGCAGCTACAGTCCGGCTGGAAAATACAACCAATTTAGCCGTGATACCACTCAGGATCAATATGGCTTCATCCCCAGCAGGACCGAGGGGCCAATCGGATGGCTGGCCTGAGAGGTTCTTAACAAAGTGGGACAGCAAATAAAGAAGGCACAGACTTGACTGACCCGAGAGCAGGAGAAGAGGAGGAGGTGGGGAGGGAAGACAAGACAGGAGGAGATGAGGCGAGAGAGGAGAAGAAAGGAAAGGAGCACAGTTTTACAAACAGCACTGGTACCTCTTTGTACCAAACAACTGAAGAAACTTGATTTGACTTAAAGACATATTGATTGGTACATCTGATATTTTATGCAATACACACAACATGATATTTTTGAATGCACAGCCTCGACTGCTTGACTGTTGAAAAAGGTAAAGAGGTATGTCCACTGAAAAGAAGGAATAAAAAGCACATTCAGTACATGTTTAAAATCGGACACACAACGGAGGATATCCACAATAAAAGAATATACCAGTGGAATAATGATGCTGCACTGAGCACTCGAGTCCAAAACTCAAGAAAATACCAAAGCTGATTATATGGAATGCTATACAAATGAAAAATGTCGGTCTTACAAAAAATTACCGAATAAGCTTCCTGGTATTAACGTTCATATTCTTTGTATTTTCCCTCAGGTTTACACATGTAAATAGAAAACAAATGTGCCTTTTTATACAGAATTTCGTAATTCACAAAATAAATAAATTCGCTGTGGCCTTAAAATTGAATCTCAATTGTATATTATATGTATATATTTATATATATATAGATAGATTCATATATATATTCCATTTTATATAAACAGGATTTAAACCTTGACGCCTCCGAGGCAGAGGCTGATAAAATCAGTTTTATCCTGCGTATTCTTTCTCCATTTGTGCCTCCCTATCTTTCCGTGCCTCCGGTCTGCAGCGCTATACAAACAGTTTTGATGTTACACTGTCCTTGGTGGACAGAAAATGCCCATTTCCATAGTAACACAGTGTTTTAAGGCCAGGGGTAATAGAGAATGAATGCATACCTATGTTGTGTATATGAAAATAAATGAGTAATAAGTTCTTGAAAGTCTGAAAGTCTGAAAAGTCATTCAGTCCATTTTTCATCTTTTTCGCAGATACTTCCAACAAAGAGAGTCTTGAGCTCTTTGAACTTCCGGTAAGGCACTCTTCAATTAAGCTTGTGGGTTGTTTTGTTTTTTTGTTGTTTTTTTTTTAGCAGATTGGACACCATGACACAACATCTATCCCTGTTCCACAGAAATACAAACTTACATGTGGTTTAAAGGAAACACTCACACTGTGCACATTCTCAGACTTCTCAGCACCGTTTGGCATTCAGTCCCCGGTTTTGGTTTCATTCATTCTCTTCTTTAAACATATTAGTCCAATGAGATGTAAGCTAAAATGACTAACTGGCACATTTGGTACACAGGGATCCCTGGTTCATCCAATGGCTGCTCTCCTAAAGGGGAAGGCATTTTGTGTGTGTATTTGTGTCTGTATCTGTGTGTGTCAGGGTTTATGTCTACAGAGGATAATCCCAAATCAGAAAAATGACTTTTTAAAAAAAAACTAAACACTCCCTTGATTTTTAAAATTAGGCACATGGTCACAAAATATGTGAGTA